TATAATATTTATGTATAATATAAGCTCGAACAAAAGCTTCTCATAAATATAACAACGATAGAACGTTATGAGACTAAAATAGTCGCAAGGGCCTCACTGATCAAAGATCCGTAAGACTTGAAAGCATAAAAGCATAACCGGATCGTATTAAAAGCTGTATAAAGCAGAAGCTGTAAATATTTCGCTGCTTCAGCTTCAGCTTCACGTTAATGCTATATATTCTGTAATCGAAGTAACAATTTATCTTCATATATATATATATATATATATGTATGTGTGTGTGTGTGTACATATGTATATGTTAATTAATGATGTACCCAAAAAGCTTCCAGAATAATTAGAAAAATCAATATAACCTTTATCGAGACATTGCAAGTTAATTTTCATTTTTCTTTTCCCATATTGTAAAACTATTAAAAGTCTACGAAAATTTTCTCTAAATTTTTGAAAAAGACGAATTAATGATTTTTTAATTTTCGCCTAAGAATTTTTGTATGTAAGTACATGTATGTATGTCAAATACTATCACCAAAAAAAAAAAGAAAAAAAAAAAAAGAAGGGATAAAAAAGCTAAGGAAAATTTTTGTAATTTCACATTAGCTAAAATTATGTAAAAATATTCGATATTAAACAAAATCAATGCCCAAATTTTTCAATGACCAAATCTATAACAATGAAATCATTAATACTTCGAATGACATTGATAATTCTTTACAAATGTAATACCAAAATACATTCCCCTAAGCTAAATAGATAATTATCTCTATCGTAACACTATATTACAAAAAATTATTAAAATTTATCAAACTTTTGAAATATTAAACAAATAAGGAATAAGATAGTTGAAACGGCCCTTGTCTCTAATTTCTTCAAAATTAACTAATTATTAACTAATTATACACAATATGATACCAACCAAATAAATCGAATTTCCTTATTGTCTTTCTTAAAGGAAGCATAACGCTAGCTTAGATACATTATCTTCTCTGATGCTCGTAATTAGAAAACGTACTGTTATCCAACTTCGTCCCCTTTTATATTTCCCTCTTTCTCTCTCCCGTTCTCTCTCTCTATCTCACTCTCTCTTTCTCTCTTCTTTTCTCTTTCCAAAGCTGACGAGTTTCACAAGTTCAGAGGCTTCGAAGGAGGTCCTTGTTTCACGGAATCCCTGAGCTATCCACCACCACTACTACCAGCACTACCATCCCCTCACCTCTCTTTCTCCCTTCCCTGCAAACTTACTCACACCAAAACACCGTTAATAGAAAATAGAGAGATCGCAAAGAGCATCGAAGAGGTGGAGTCAAAGAGCGTACTTCAATTTGAAAAGAAAAATCCGTGGCGCCGCGAAACTCGAACTTTGCTCTACTATTTCTTCTCCTAAACTATTTTTGTCTTTTTATCTTTCTTTTTCATTTCATTTATTTACTTCTTTTTTTTTTGCTCTTCTTTCCTTTCTTCTTCTTCTTCTTCTTTATCTTCCTTTTTTGTATCTATATTTCGTCTTTCCATTTTTTTGTTCACCCCTTCCACTTATTATCGTGAATGAAACGTGAGATGGATAGAAAGAGACGAATTTCATCTACGGAGAAGTGTCTTCCTTCCCTTTTTTTGCTCTCTCTCTCTCTCTCTCTCTCTCTCTCCCTGTTTCTTTTCTCATTTTTTTTCAAAATTATCCCAATAATAACCGAAAAAGTTTGTGCCGTGCTAAAATTTGTCGATGATGTATGTAATTTGACCGTCCGTTCGATCTATCGATCGATATTGCGTTCGTGACATCGTGATTTCTCTTTCGTTAATCTTATAGAACGGACGTGTCCTCACGCACGCATCTCCCTCGCTTCTTTCTCTCATCCGCCAAAACCACCGTCTGTCTCACCCTCACTCACTTCGACGATAGAAAGAAATAAGCCAATCATTTTTCTCCAATAAATAAGAAACGACACGACTTTTACTTTTCGAATAAAATGCGGTATATCATATTTCCTGAATTTTTTATATTACATATAAAAAAGAAAGAGAGAGAGAGAGAGAGAGAGAGAGAGAGAGAGAGAGAGAGAGAAAATATGAAGGCTCGATACGTCGACTCGTTAGACATCATTCGTACGTGATTAACATTTTTCTCGAGAAATGAATAGAGGGATGGAGATGTATCGTGAAAATTTAATATTCGCCTTTCATTTTTATATCCATGGAAAGAGAAGCTTCTCTACGAGAGAAGCAATAAATCGGGAAACTCAATTCCTATATACGTGTATATATATATATATATATGTATATATATATATGTATATATATATATGTATATATATATGTATATATATATATGTATATATATATGTATATATATATATGTATATATATATGTATATATATGTATATATATGTACTTGCGTATGTATATATAACTAGTATATGTTCAAGTCATGTACATACGTATATATAAGTAGGTACGTGCTTTTGCGATATATAGGAAGTGTCGTCCATTTCTCGAGGAACCATGATTCGATTACCTGACGCGTACTATGCTCGTAAAATCGATTTCTCGAATCATAGTCACCGTTGAAAAATGTTTTGTAAAATAAAAAAAAAAGATATATATATATATATATATATATAATATATCATACGAGCGTCAACTTTTGAGCAACTATTTTTGTATGTAAAATTCTCACGGACAAATATATTATTCGGAAAAATTATAAATTCTTAACGATTATTCATTACTTGTTTGAATAATTAATCACGTATAAAAATCAATATGTGTGTGTGTGTGTGTGAGCGCGCGCGTGTATGTGTATCATACATCTATTCATATATGTATATTTATTTATCAATTAGATATAAAATGGTAATAAATAAATAATGAATAATATTTTTTAATAATTATTGTTCGAATAATAAATATTATTGTTACGTTCAATTATTATTATCACTTACAATGATCGACGTATATAAAATAATATCTCATTAAAACGTAGCGATTGAGATTTTTATTTTACGATCGTATTACAAATTGCATAATTTCATCTTTCTCTCTCTGTCTCTCTCTCTCTCTCTCTCTCTCTCTCTCCCTCTTTCTCTTTCGAATCGATAAATATTCTCAAGCATCCGGCGGAACTTCTTCTTTTCTCAAATCTATAGGAATTTTTAAAAGAGAGACTTGAGATAAAGAGCGTACAATTTTCCTTCTTGGCACAAAAACGATTGACTGACCTTTCCTCTTCTTTCCTTCTTTCTTTCTCTCTCGCTCTCTTTTCATTTTTCTTTGTAATTTTTAGAAACAAACGCACTGAGAATAAATTCGGTTACGGTTCGCCACAAGAGAGAATAAAGTTATAAAAATGAATACATTTTCGTTTCTCTCTCTCTCTCTCTCTCTCTCTTTCTCTTTCTCTCTTGTGTCGCAACCCCGTTGTCATCGAGAGTATTATTATTTATTTCTTTTATTTATTTATTTGTTTATTTATTTTATACGTTTCTTATTTCATCTTTATTTTTAGTTACATTTCGTTAGACGAATCACGAATTTACGAGCTATATACTATTCGAACATAATACTTACAATCTTTTTCACATTGAGATATAAAATTTTATTTATTTTTTAATTTTATATAAAACGTTAAATAGCTAAAATAAATATAAGATAGGCAAAAATTTTCTACAATGAAAATCGATTGAATATACTTTTTCGAGACATTTTGTATTCATTTTCGTTAAAAATCGTACAGAAACCGAGCTTCTATTTCATATTGTAAAATTACATTATTACCCTAAAAATTATTGAATGATTGATTTTTATTATAAAATCATTTAGAAATTTTTGGCATGATCTGTATTTGCAATAAATTCAAAATCATTTGTCGTATGGAAAAAATGTAAACAAAAATTCCATATTAAACATAATTTATTAAATATATATATATATACATAAAAAAAAAAAATAAATAAATAAATATATATATATATATATGATATAATAGTTTTATCACAATAATACGATAATTTATGCAACTTATAATAAGCTATGATTTCCAATGAGATCTCTCTAAATAAACGATTACGTAGCCGTTGATGTCGAAAGATTGGAAGGGCGACAATAAATGCAATAATTTATTTGTAAAACAACGACTACAATAATACACGCACGCATGAACGCATGAAAGAACAAACGAAAGCACCAACGAACGCACAAACGTCGCACGCACGCATATGCTAACATATGCACATGCACAAACTTGATACGATACGATACGATACGATACGATACGATACGATACGATACGATACGATATAATAGTTTTATCACGAATTATCCATGCATCGACGCGAAAATACAATCGATTTTAGAGGTACGAACGACGATGGCAGAGAAGTAGAGTTGGATGGTTCGATTAAAATGAACGAGGTATCACGTTACAGAGAATGATAGAGTACTGTCACTACCTCTTTCTTTCTCTCTCTCTCTCCTTCTATCTTTCTTTCTTTCTTTCTTTCTTTCTTTCTTTCTTTCTTTCTTTCTTTCTTTCTTTTTCTCTCTTTTCCGGTATTTCGTTAAAAACAAAGCGACTTTTAAGTAATCACGAAATAGAATGCCGCGAAAGAAATAGAAAAAGAATAAGAACAAAAAAAAAGGAAGAATTAAAAAAAGGAAACAATAAAAAAGAAATAGAGTACGTCGTTAAAAAAAGAAAAAGAAAAAATAAAAAATTACGTTCGAATTGTGACAGGAAACATAGATGAGCGAAACGATAGGAAATGAAACAGAATTCACTGTATGAGAATTACACGTGTTATTATAGATCCTAAAGCTATAAAAGGAATAGTGAAAGGAGGAGAGAGGGGAGGGGGAGAGTGAGGGGGTAACTGGATGAAGGTAGGTTGGTTGTTTGGAGGGAAAGGATGGAAATACGTTAGCGTTATCTCAAGGCTTCTAAATCAGAATTATCGTTCTGTGAGAGTAAGCGTAAATCGACGAAAGTTTTGTGTCTATAACTAACCTGTTCGTTCTATGATCCTCTTCTCTCTCTCTCTCTCTCTCTCTCTCTCTCTCTCTCTCTGCTCTCTGCTCTCTGCTCTCTGTCTCTTTTCCTAACACACTATCGTTCTTCTCGATGACTCTATCCTCTTCTATTTTCCTATATTCTTTTGCCTTGAGCGACGCACAAAATATATTGCAAATCTCCAAAAAATCTGTCTTCTTTCTTCTACGTTCACGTTCAAATATGGATGACGATGAAAATATTATTAATATTGTCTCTCTCTCTCTTTCTCTCTCTTTCTCTCTCTTCTTTTTCTTTCTTATATTACTTTTATTAATCTCAAACCAACACGCAACACAATATTACATAGTTTTCACATCTCGACGTTATCGCGTCAAACCGACACTCTACGTTGTTTATCACTTATTCTAAAAAAAAAAAAAATCGTCTCACGCGAGTTCACTTTTTCCTTTCGAAGAACCGAAGAAAATAATTCGAAATATGATATCACATTTAAGATGAATCAATCCTGTTAACACCTAAAAATTGTTTGTAATCACGATATTTTTTCATTTGTATTTTAAAAAACAAACGAGGAAGAAAAAAGTTTTACATTAATTATTATTATCAAGAACAGCGACGTATATATATATATATATATATATATGTATGTATATATGTATATATGTATGTATGTATATATGTATATATGTATGTAGGTTGTAGATCGTTATTAAGAAAAATTAAATATAATTTTTTTTATTTAACTATTTTTCGCCTCCGTCTCTCTCTCTCTCTCTCTCTCTCTCTCTCTCTCTCTCGTTTATATGCAAAAAAGAGATAGTTAACGTTCTAGATATAACGATACTCGAAGCAAACAGTATGCTCGAAACTAAACGTACGTGACATGAGCTTGGAACGATCTAACACGACCAACGTCGCTCTTATATCGATGCCTAAGCTATAAAGGAACCTCCATCGAGACGATCGTAGAGAGTAGGAGGAGAAAACTCGCACCTGCTGTCGATACCCTATTCACTCCTCGTTTCACGTTCGAAATAAACACATCGAAGGGGAAGCTGCCTTTGGCTGAACGAATTTGAAAAAGAAAAAGGAAGAAAAAAAAGGAAAGGAAAGGAAAGAAAAGAAAAAAAAAAAAAGAAAAGAAAAGTAGAAAGACTGATTCACTGAAATAAAAGAAAAAGAAATGAGAGAGGGAGAAGATAGAATTAAAATTAAAAAAAAAAAAAAAAAGAAACAAAAAAAAATAAAAAAGAACAAAACCAAACAAAACTAAAAAAAAAAAAAAAAAAAAAAAAAAAGAAAAAGAATAAAATGGGAACACAGAAGGAAAATAATCGAAATGAAAACTCGCAAAGATAATCAACGTAATTTGCTTGGGGAAAAGAAAAAAACAAAAAGGAGAAACAAAAAAAAAAAGAAGAAAAAAACCCGGCCTGCAATTAACTGCAAATGGAAAACTTTTAGAAGAACAATCCTTTTTAAATGAGAACACGGCTCGACGCTTTGGTTATTTACTGATGAAAAAAGGGAATGAGAAAGAAAAAAAAAGAAAAAAAAAAAAGAAAAAATTACAAAAAGGTTACAGGCCGATATAATTTTTTTTTTCTAAATGTCAAGCTCCTCTCTTTTTTATTTTTAATTTTTTATTTTTTTTCAACTATCAGAAAATACTATATTAATATTATCGATCTTCGACGAACGAATTGTATTATTATAGAGCTTCGACGATCAATGACATATTATTAGCAGTTGAGAGAGAGAAAAAAAGAGAGAGAGAGAGAGAAAGAATAAAAGAAAAAATGAAAGAAAGAAAAAAAGAAAAATAAAAAGAAAAAAGAAAATGGTTAAGACAAAAAATAAAAGAGGAATCTTGAAACGATTTAATCTTATAAAAGAATCGAGGAAAGAGAAATACTCGAGTTATCATCTGGTTTTAGTATCGTTCTCTTTTCCTCTATCTCTCTCTCTCTCTCTCTCTCTCTCTCTCTCTCTCTCTCTCTCTCTCTCTCTTGCTCTCACAGTCTATAAATCACGAGGGTCGCGACATCCACCTATTATCCTCTCTCAATCTCTATCTCCGTCTCACTCGCTTGTAAGGGATCTTTTCGGGTATTCTTTCACATAGTCGAGAAAGTGGGGATTGCGTCGCCAAAATCACGACGGCGTGGCTTTGGGCGTGCCCCAGTTTTCCACTGACCGCGGTAAACTTTATAATCCGTTGCTAACAACCATGCCATCGGTAAACCATCCTAAGTAGTCATGGCACACTCACGAACGAACGGACCGAGAGAGAAAGAGAAAGCGTAAACTCGTGACAACGATAAACCACGCGATTAAATTTACATAAAGAAGAAACGATGAAGATTAAAGAAGAGAGAGAAAAAATATAGATAGATAGATAGATGGATAGGTAAAAAGAAAAAGAGGAAGAGAGAGAGAGAGAGAGAGAATGAGAGGGAGAGGGAGAAAGAGAGAGAGAGAGAATGAGAGGGAGAGGGAAAAAGAGAGAGAGAGAGAATGGTATTAGAATTGTATTAGAAAAAGAGAGCAAATGACAGGCTCTCTTCAGGATCGAAAATCCTCTTTTCTCTCGGACGAATATACTGTCGTCGTGTGTGTCTCAAGGGATAGAAGCTAATGAACGAACTTTCCAAGCCGATCTAACGGGAACAAAATTGCCGGGCGTAACTTTTATCGTTCCGGAAAAGTTTTGCCTTTCTTTTTCTTTCTTCTTTTATTTTTTTTTTCTCTTCTTCCACCTCTCCTTCTTTTTCTTCTTCTTTTTTCTTTAATTTTTTTTTCTTTCCTTTTTTTTTTTTGTTTCTCTCTTTTTTTCTATCTTATATCGGATCCTTTTTTACATGTACACAGATGATACGTATGTATGTATAATGTATGTGCAAGTGTACACGCAAAGTCACGATAAAAAGTAGAATATTACTTTTTTAAAGTTGAAATTTAATAAAATAAGAAGAAAACAACCACGACTTTCGAACTTTTTCTCTTTCGTGATATCGATGTATAATTCAAATTTTCGAATTTGTATTGCATGACGATAACGACGATAAAAAAGAGAAATAAAGAAACAAGAAATAGATCTCTTACTCTCTCTCTCTCTCTCTCTCTCTCTCTCTCTCTCTCTCTCTCTCTCTCTCTCTCTCTCTCTCTCACACACACACACAGACACAATTCTTTCTCTATAATTAAGAAGATATTAATTAAAATGACGCACTAATTAAAATCACTTAAGATCGTCGCTGTCCTTTTTCTTTTTCTATCGAGACGAAAGTATAGAGGAAAAAAAAAAGTAAAACAAAAAGGAAAAAAGAAAAACGGTAAAAAGGCGGAATGAAAAGCAATGTACAACACTGTTGAGAAAAGAAGAAAACCGGTGAAAATCAGATTTTCCTTTTTCGCAATCGATAAAAATCTTAAAACAATTATTTATATAATATGAAAATTCGTTAAACGCATATAGGAGAGTACACGCGGTCTCGCGAACTTTTCGACGACGCGGAAAGCTTCCGTGACCGGCGGTTGTTCGTTAGGACTTCGCCAATGGACTGCCGTGTGCCGCGGCAAAAGCTACGGCGCAACACGCCGACGCATCTACCCCCTTAAAGTACCTCTTTCCTCTCCTCCTCTTTCTCCTTCTCTTCTACCTACTCCTCCTCATCCTCTAGCACCTCCTACGGGTACTACTCCTTTGTCGCACCGATACTGTGGTCTGTTTTTTTCTCTCTCTCTCTCTCTCTCTCTCTCTCTCTCTCTCTCTCTCTCTCTCTCTCTTCCTCTCTTTCTCACTCGTAAGTTTACAGAGAGAAGGAGTGAGACAGAGAGAGAGGGGGGGAAAGGGAGAGGAAGGGATGAATTAGAGCAATGGACCATCTTCGAGAGACTCTTAGAAAAAAAAAACATCTACCCCTTATTTATTTACAATCGATAAGTTCGGCTACACTATAACTATAATACACAAGAGAAGTATGGTCCTTCCATTCGACAAACATTTATGACAGAATTTCTCAAATATCTATGAACAATCAAATAATATTAATTTGATGATCTATGTGTATATAGGTTATATGTAGATTTAAAAATTAAATTTAATTAATAATATTAATTAAAGTAAAAAAAAAAAAAGTAAAAAGGAAAAGGAAGCTCTAAATAATTAAATTCGCAAAAAATTATTTATTTCATGTTGAACACTTTCTCTTATTGATCTAGGATATATAATATGTATAAGTATAATGTGAGTTTAAAAATTGAATTTAATTAATAATATTAATTAAAATAAAAAAAAAGAAAACTGAATAGTTAAATTCGCAATAAATTATATACTTCTTGTTGAACACTTTTTCATGTTGGTCCAGAGAGAGAGAGAGAGAGAGAGAATTAAAACAGTAAACTGTTATAATGCTAATGTATAAATTTATTATATTACACAAGAAACGCTTCTGCTTATTTGGATACTATTTTTATTTATTAATTATAAATATTTTATAAAATGAATTGTCAGTATATATGAATATTTTGATCAATATAAATAATGAAGTGTTAGTATCTCATCATGGTACGTAACTGATATTACGTATGGATATTTTATTATAAATACTGATAATCTATTTAAAATGCTGACTAAACGTTTAAAAATACTAATTAAATCTGTCCAAAACAAACGCATAACCGTAATAAGAAATGGACATGGAAAATTAATTTGGACTAAATTAATAATATTAATTAATTTTTCACTAAACAGATATTTTTGTACGATATCACGAACTTCACCCTTAACGTTACGTATGTATATACATATCTATTTACGAAAAAGATAAAACGATATCTTTTCATCTTCGGTACGATGTTGTCCGCTTAAATAATCTCCAAAGACCGAATGATCAATTTCCTATCGAGTTCGATCGAAATATACACAAGCTCGAAAACAAAAATTTATTTTAATAGAAAAAAACATTTCTCGATGTACCGAGTATATCGAA